TGAATTAAGTGTGGTCAAATATTATTCACTATTTATTATTTAATAAAGCAGAATAAATTATATTGGAGGGGTTTTTCTACAACTGAGTTGGCCATATACACTGAACATTTTCTTCCAATATAGTTTCTCTTTTCAATAGAAATATATGAGACATAACAGTTGTGGATAAGACTAATATTAATGTATACAGGAAATCTAGTATGATTAAAGGAATATGACTCAATTTTTAAAGTATCTAAGAGATATTGTGCAAGCATCACAACATCTATGATCCAGATCATCCAAGATCTGCAAAAAAAAAAATTTGACCATAGGCTAATTAAACTAGTTTTTATATTACTAGTTGCATATTACTARCTGACGTAAAAACATCAGTGGGAGTCGAAATCAGCACTTTCCTATATGCCTAAGAAGGCATGCATTGCTGAAGCTCACTGCTTTCAATACTGGACTAGAAGATTCAAGCTATCTTGAGTAGTCTTAAACACAATTTGGAGCATTCCTTGACTCCTATGTTAAGTTTATAGACAGATTCTTCCTGTTTTTAATGTAAATTAGGAATAAAAGCTGGAAAGAATATTGAAATGCTTTAAAAAAAACCTATATGATCTATCCAAAAGTGTTTCCAGGACTCACAGAATATCAGAACAAACAGAGTGATGAAGATTGGAGGGGAGATCTGTAGATCACCTTGTCCAAACACTCCTGTTTAAGGAGGTCATATAAAGCACATTGCTCATGATTGAGTCTGGACAGCTTTTGAAATCTCCAGCGAAGAAGACTTCACCACCTCTCTGGGCAACCTGTTCCAGTGCTCTGTTACCCTCATAGTCATTAAGCTTTTCTTCATATTCAGACAGAACTTCCTGTGCCTCAGTTTGTATCTTTTACCTTGTTCTGTCTATGAACAATACTGAATATATAGCATCATCCTCTTAACACTCTCCCCTCAGACACATTGATAAGATCATCCCTTAGTCTTCTCCAGGCTGACCAGTCCCAGCTTTCTTAGCCTTCCCGTCTGTGAAAGATGTTCCATTCCTGTAATAATCTTATTACCCTCTCCTCTCCAAGAGTGCCCTCTCCACTGCGTGCACTTTAGTAGCTCCATATCTTTCTTGTATTGGGGAGTACAGAACAGTGCTCCAGGTGTGGCCTCTCTAGAGTTGAGTAGGTGGGAGAGATCACCTCCATCCACTTGCTGGCAATGCTCTGCCTAATGCACCCCAGGGAGACCACTGGCCTGCTTAGCTACAAGGGCATATTGATGGCTCACTCTCAACTTGTTTTCCACCAGGACTCCCAGGTCGTCTTCTCTGCAGAGCTGCTCCCCTGGTGCATGAGGTACAGGACTTTGTACATCCCTATTCTGAACTTCCTGAGGATCCTCTCTGCTCATCTCTTCAGCCCATCAAAGTCCCTCTAAATGCCAGCATAGTCTTCTGGTGAATCAGCCACTATTCCCAGGTTTGTATCATCACTTTGGTGAATCATCCTGGTCCTGGCAAGGGACAATTTCCTTGGAAATGTGAAGGATATAGATCATATTCATTTAGTTCCTTGCAAACTTCCAGATAGATTTCCCTGTGCTGTCATATACCTCCAAAAGGCCTGTATTTCCTTTTTGGAGCATGCAGGGGTTTAATTTTTTTTTTTTTTTTTTTTGACACATTAATTTTGAGGCTATTCAAGACATACCACTTTTTAAAAGTCAGGAATATATGACCTCTGGTTCCATAGGCAGAAATATTTAAAACACTCCATGTGAACCCCCATGTCTGCTAAAAGAAAAAAACTTTGAGAATAATTAGAAAAATATTATTATTATCTGTCTCTGAAGCCCTAGTACATAGGGGGTTTTTAGGCATCTAAAAAACTCTTCCCTCTTCTCTCTTCTTGGTCCCGATCTCACACATGTTAAATGGTAATGGTAAATGGTAAGCACAACCTATCTGCAGACCTGAAGTTAAGGATACTCCTATATAGTCTAGTTCTTCAGGTCCTAAACATTTTGTAGAGATGTGACTTATTGACTAGGAAGTTCACCTTTACCAGCTCATCAYTTTTAGTATTCTTTGTTCTTTCAAAATTCCCAAGTCAGAAAATACTGTTATCCTTCTTTGGGTACAGATGAGGAACTGACAAATACCAAACTAAATTACTTGCTCAGGGTCACACAGGGACTCTGTGACAAACTAGGATGTTAATCCAAACCCATATCTTGATAAATAATATTGTAGAGAGATACACTTTCCTCTGTAGCTTAATTTCCAATATAAGCTGATGCATTCTACAATCAGGCACCATGTTACAATGTAGATGGCTACTTAAAAGAAAGACTGAAAGTCAAAGTCTCTAAGTACAAYAGCAGCACTTTCCTCTTGAGTCTTTCTGGTTAATACACTGAGATTCATGTATAGACCATCAATTACTTATTGTGAAAAACAAAACTTTTTCCTTGTTACACGAGGCAACACTACTAAAAATGGTATATTCTGATTGTTTTATTTTGCAGATAAACAAGAGTGCTTTAATTATTATGGTCTGATATGCTGTCTCCAAAACAGAAGGTACAGTACTGGAAGGTACAATGCGTTTTAAATGTATTTGCAAAGGATTATTTCTCTAAGTATTAAATGAAATAGCATGTGAATAGAATGAAAAAGAAAAGTTTTATTCTTCATGGAATCTTTATTGAAGGAACAATTGAAAAAAACGAGTTAAGATTTATTGATTAAATCAAAATATTAAGGTAATATTAAATAGATGTCAGCAATTTTGAAATTGTGCCACAAACACAAAAAGTACGTATTATTAAGGGTGCGCTGGGTGTGTTTTAATAACTTAACTCCAAAATGCACAGTTGATCCTTGACAGACTTCAAGTATTAACAAATAGGAAGTTAGAAGAGTCAAGGAGACCCAAAAAGCACATTTTTCACAAAGAATAATTTTTATTATTTGATAGATTGGGAGCAAAGTAGCTGCAGCAATTAATATGACAGTTAAATAGTAGGACAGAACAGGAAAAATAAGTTTAAAAATATTGGGGTGTGGACATTTTTAGAAAGGAGAATAGAGAGATGATGCCAAAGCCAAGGGAGGGCACAAAAGAAAGGCCATATTCAGTGAGGAAAAAAACAATGTAGTAGAAAAATAAAATACTGTATTGGCTATCTTAGTCAGGCAGCACAGACTAGCTGTTATGTCTAACAGAACAAACCATTATTGCAAGTGAAGAAAGAAAAGAAATGTTAGTAACTTTTCCTAAGGAAAAGTAGATGCGGATATTCTTAAGAATATCCACTAAGATCCCTGTCAAGGTCACAGCCAAGGAACCACAGGAGAACAAAAAGATCCAAGGGCATAAAACATCTCATCTGAATTACTACTGTATAATTAGCAAATGTATTTTTGCCTTTATGATTCAGCAGGATTGTTAGTTTGAAACATTAATGCAAGCTAAACCTGAACAGTGAGACCTGGAGAAAGCATCCCCATTCTGGTCTCTGTGCCCAGGCAACCTGCATCCATCCACAAGTTAGGCTGCTCCTAGGGCTCAACTCCCCCTCAGCTCTAGGGGCTGCAGGGCTGTAGGTATCAAGCAACCAACATGATGTTCTGGTGGCTGCTTTATCTGAAAGTCAGGGAATGGAAATTTGGGCTGTGTGGATCCTACCTTGAAGTAGAGAGGCAGCCACAATGCACTTGTGATGAAGCTTGTGATCTCTGGTTCTAAATGTATGCTGTATATTCATTCAGTAATTACATAAAGCAAAGGGGGAATTCTGCTGAGTGAATGATCATCTGATGGCCAACTTTCCGTATACAATATATATAGTTCTGAGCAGTTATCAAGGAAATATCCAGTGTGTGACTTTTTCCATAGACACATTACTTTGCTATCTGCAGACAGCTTGCAGGACATATACTTGAGTAAAGATACACAATCATAAACATGAGGTGGACCATCAGAAACAGGACTTCAAGGAAAGAGTGTAAGATTTCCTAGGACACTCATTTGGGTACCATTAAGAATGAAATTTTGAATGAAACTGCAGCAAAAAAAAAAAGAAATGCAGATTTTACAAAGAGAGGATTATACCACATATATTCTTTTTTTTTTTTTTTTTTTTTTTTTTTTAATATAGGATAGGCTTCAACAGTTCGCAAGAACTGGGCCACAATTTTAATGCTGGCTGACCGAAGGTATTGCATTATTACCAACCAAGATCATTTTACACTAGGGATGTGCTAATACTACTAAACAGATTTTAATGGATTGTAATGCTGGAATTAACCATTTTTTTTTCTAACGAGGGACAAGTCACCTTCTGTTATGAGGCACCAAATCATTTTAGTATTTTGCTGATATGTTCTCCTTCTGTTACAGTCTGTTAAAGAAAATTGTTCTGTTAAAGAAAATTGTTTGGCTGGGCGGAAAGAAAATGTGACTGAATAAAATGAAGATAAACACGGATAGAGAAATTAGTCCTGAAATACAGTAGCTATCCCAAGGTTTTGCTAAGAACTCAGATACAGTTTTACTTGCTTTTTGGGAAGATGTTGGCACTTAATAACAGGTTTATTTTCCAAAAAAGTAGATCCTATCCAGATAGCTTAAAATATAGCAAAAAAAAAAAAAAAAATTTAAAATGAGACTCTCAGTTTTATTTATTCATGTTGCAGCTTGCACTCATTAGTGGAAGAATAAGTATAGTATGTAGATGATGAAAGACACTGTTATAGTACACTGGAAATTTGGAATTCAGATTGCAAGCTTGGAACAAATCTTTCATTTGGCAACCAGCTTAGGGGTCTAAGAACATATCTAAATTAGTAATATAGACAGGGTCTGTATGAAATATGGCATTCATCTATGCCCAGAGACTTCTAGTGCACAGTGAAGGACATTACTGATACCCTGGATGTGTTTTCTCTCTTCTGAAACAAAGACTGATGTTAAGCAATAGCACATTAGCTAGGGAGTATCATTTCCAATGTGGGTGCAAGGATCTCCACTGTGCATATCTCTGTACGTTTGCATGGCACATGCAATATAAGATTGTTGGCAGTCTGGTTACAATTTCTTACTGCAATGCCCTACTAGTGGCAGATAATACTCACGAAAACGGAGAGCAGAGTGCRTATAGAACAGTCACAATCAACAGAAGGTACAGGTAAATTCTTTGCTAGGTATGAACAAAGCTAGAGTTGAGAATACAGAAAAATAAATTCCTCTGGAAAAAGCCTGCAGTCAATCCATTTGAAGATGTGGGTAGGCTGCCCATACGCGTACATATGGTAGGTACTCATGCAGACAACCTATGCTTCTCACTTTTACTTCAAAGACAGAAAAAGATGCATCTTGACTGCCTCTTGGCACAGGATTTAAAGATGAGTCATTTTACATAATAAAAACTTTAGTTATACAGGTTAGTACTGTGGTGCTTTAACTTGAAATACCAATATATTTCAATTGTGTTTCATTTATCCAAAATGCATCTCTGGCAGGTTTTCTTTGGACTCATAGTCACAGTAACAAGACTGAAAGAGGGTTGAGCAACACACCTGGAGCCACGGCTTCCAAAGAAGGTTGTTCCATGATAACTGGTCAGGGACAGCATGTAGTGATTTGGTGTGGTTATGTACTGCTTGCTCTATCACATGCAGTATTTCATAAAAATGACTCTCCATTTCTGGAGTCAGTGGAACTTTCTCTTCAGGGTCTCTGGAGAGATCGAAGAGGAGTGGGGGATCATGATGTGTGACAGACCTTCCAGAGCAAAAACAAACATGAGAATCATAGCAACCATTGGAGTCTTCAGGATTGAAGTTTGGAGTGAAGAAGATGACTTTCCAAACAGAATCACCTGCAATTTACAGACATAAAACAGCTGATGAAAAGAAGTAGACTTAATCTTAAGAAAACCAAATTTATACCACAGGAAATCAATCTCTTGGTTCAACCTCCATGAATACAGGCACATACTTAAACAGCAAAATAAAGCAAAAAGTGGCAGTTGTCATGCTACACAAATATATGATTATGATCAATTAATTCCTTTGGGATAATTCTTATTAAATCACAGAASACTTAAATTAGCTTTATGTTTTTATATAAACAGTGCTAAGACAATCTGCATAAATGTTCCTTCAGAGTCATAAAAATAGAACTTCACCACTTGACCATATCTAGACATTGTTGAGCTATGACTGTTGTTCACTTTGTGAATCAAAGCCATTTCATGTTTATCTTATTTTCTGCTAGTCTCCTTTTTTACAAGCCAAAACTTTCTGGCATATTCTTAGACTGTCTCTGGTCTTGAGACACAGCCTCTCATTTTATTAAATGTGATGACATGAACTGAACCTAATTTCTGTCTTAGGTTTCTACCTGCTTCTGCAAAAAATAAATAGGTGTTAGGGTGTTAGGATTTTGAGGTGGAACTCTGCTTTTTAATGTGAGGATCAGATGTCTTCATTTCATTTGTTTTGTACAGAAATTGAACTGTCTGCATTTGTGTTACTGTGTTCAGTATTTTTGCTGTTTAATAATATGAATTAACTCCTGGATTAAGAATAAACAAATATGAGTTGGCTCCTTCAAAACGTAGGTCTAGAAAGAAGGTATGTTAGAGAACCTGAAAATACTTAATAGGAAATAAATCAAACACAAATGTCTAATATTTTGCTCAAGTATCACAGTACAGATGACAATAATTTTAAGGAAAGTATGTAGCTACAGTTCCCTAGAAACACACTGGAGAATAAAGAGTCACAATCCATGCTTTATTCTTAATAAAAGTGGGATACTAAATAGCTGAGGTCTCTAGGTTAGGTCTATAATGCCTGATTAATTATTTATTTGAATGTACACAGACGTTCACTCAGTACTCTAATGCCAAAACAATTTTCTTAACACTGCTAACTTCATAGTAAATTTGATAATCTAGTAAAAAGTAGGCTAGTATGCATTTATATGTGCTATAGTGGTTAATATTCATTAACTGAGTCACCAGTATAACAGAATGGAAATGCCACAGAAATATGGGAAAGTCAGAGATAACTAGTATCACATGCTATAACAACCTCATACTTTTCTTTCAAAGATAAAAACATTTATAAAGGAAGTCCATGTTTCAGTAGAAAAAGGGAGTCACAGGTTGCAGTCCTAGTCTATAGCATGATTTTAAAAGACAGTATGTGACCTCAAGATTCTTTATAACTTCTTCTATCCTTCAGCATTTTTCACTTTGTAAGAAATTTTACCCTTAGGAACCTATTCAATGTTAGAATCTGGAGACTTCCAGTTCACTTAGTCTGCACTTAAATCTGGGTCAGAGAGGTGAAGGTTGTTATACATGTTAGACTGGAAAAATCTCTGAACATCGCTTGGAAGTCAGCAAAGAGGAAGGAGTTTTAAAGGCTGACAGTCTCACGCAGACAACAAGACATGGCGCTCTTTGAAAGGCACTAAAGGCTCTAACTATGATAACAAGTAGAGCACATTCATTCTGGGGGACGGGAAAGGGGAAAGGAGAGGGAAGGAGAGGGAAGGATGTGTTCCTTCATCTACTTTTCCAGTAACATTTGAAAGGTCASTTTGAGACTTGAGTTCTTTGCTATTTTCACATGGTTCAAAATAAACAAAGATGGACAATGAGGAACAAAAAAAGCCAACCAGTGCACTGTATGTCTTCATTGAAATGCAGTATTTACCTTGGATGAGAATTTGATTCAGAACTTCACAGCATTATAAGAAGAACAGAAAAAAAATATAGCTATTAAAAAATATCAGCAAAAAGTAATTCCAGTAAGACCATATAAATGAGAACTTTGTGGTCACATTGTCTTACCAGAGATCTCTTTTTGAGGATGCATTTGTGCTGAATGACATTAAAAAGAACTTTTTAGCCAACTTCTTCATTACTGGACACTGCAGTACAAGGCCAGTTCAAGGGCATACAGAGAGCATTATAAAGTGGGGAATTCTGAGTTAATGCAAATCATTATCAGTGGCTCACGTAGTTAAGTATAAAGACATGGGAAAAAGAAAGAAAGGAAACTTTTTATTCCTGAGAATAAAAACTTGTTCAGATTTGCCTCTCTCTAGAGCACATGGCATATTGCAAATGTACATGTTAGATGAGGGGACAGAACATGTATGATCTTGTATTGCATCTGAATTACATAGCTACTTAAAAAAAAAAAAAAAAAAAGAGCTGATGGTAATTTATCAGTTATGTTGCTATATAATGTCAGGGCCATGCTGTGCAGAACAACTCTGGGAAAGCAAAGGCTGTTGTTGTGCAGTGATCATCTGTTGCACTGCAGCAATGCTTCACTAAGAATCTGGAGCTTTATGGAGGCTGCAGAAAGAGCAGTACAGAGTTTACTCACTGATTTCCTAATCATTACCAAAACTAAAGCATGTCTGTCAGTGTCTGTAGCCATGGAATGGCCAGTGTAATGTACTAGGAGACATAAAAAGCTGTCAGATTTTTAATCTGTAAAGTTGATAAATTGTGTAAGTCTGGATATTAAAAAGATAGAGTTCTTTCCCAGGGTCTCTTAGCTGGTATAAAACCTCATTTTGTCAGAGGGCTAACCAAAATTATCAAATTAATCTCTTGGTAATTAAGAATACCTGTGTTCTGCAAACCATCTGAATAATGAGCTCTCTTTTTATATGAAAATAATTATGTGTCTCTTCCTTAGTGAAGGCATAGGCCTGTTCAGCCTGAGGAAGAGAGGGCTGAGGAGGGATCTGATTATTGTCTATAAATACCTCAACAGAGAGAGTGAGGAGGATGGGGTTGGCCTCTTTTCAGTGGTGGCCATTGATAGAACTAGGAGAAATGGCCACAAATTGAAGGACCAAAGTTCCACAGGAACTTAAGGAAAAATTTCTTGACAATGAGGGTGACAGAGCACTGGAACAGGTTACCAAGAGAGGTTGTGGAGCCTCTTTCTCTGGAGATCTTCAAAATCCTCTTAGATGCCACCCTGTGCCATATGCTCTAGATTATCCTGCGTGTGCAGGAGGGTTGGACTAGATGATCTCTAGAGGTCCCTTCCAACCTTAAGGATTCTATGATTCTATAATTAGGAGAATTGCCAAGACATCCCTCCACAATAAAGTAGACCAGGTCCCCTTCTATAACACAGCAGGCAAACCCTAATACTTCATCACCCCACCCCCCCAGGCCCTTTTCCAGACGCTTCCCAGATACTTTAATTAGCATTCATTTTTTTCCTGCAAAGGTCCAGCTTTGATGAATTTTCCAACAGTTTCACCTGTTCACATGTCAGAATATCACTTTCCTCTCACTTTTAGAAAAAGGAATGGTACAAAAGTTGTACGGGTAAACATTCTGAAATTAAAATAGATTGCAGTTAGTTCAAGCAAGTACATGAATGTAAGCACTAAGAATTTGATCTCCATGCCAGACTGCTCTTCTGTTCCACCAGCAGTCTATTCATCCTATCATACTCAAATGAACCAAGCATCTTGGTATCTTGCAATGTTATGCTGTTAAATCAGCCTAATGACAACACATGATGTCCCAGTGTAGGTGGAAAATACCTGAGTGTTATTCAAAGATATAATGTTAGTTTATGAGAATAAATTGTATCTAGGATAGTCTTGCATAAGGAACAGCGCAAAACATGAAGTATTTGAAGTATAAAAAAAAAAATAGTAATAGCAATGATGTTCAAATTGTACAGATTTGAAACTGCAATGTTAAGTAACTGCTAAAACATATAGGATTGTAGAATGCTGCATATTTAATTATCATATTGAGCAACTGCTGGAGAAAAGAATGCACAGTGAAACAAGACACGGGGAAACCATGCTTAGGCTGCTGGAGTCAAGAGAGAAACCTCTTGACTGAGCTTTTGTATGAGTGAGTGGATGTGATTTAAAATTCTGTGGTATGAGAAAGTTCTACTTAACTCTGTTCAAAAGTGAAGTTAATCTACTGAACAGTAGCAGCTGAAAAAGAATTATCTTCCTAAAGTCATTCTCATCTTCAAAAAGAACTGACTGATCATCTGCACAGTTTTCTTTAATTGTTGAAGAAACTCCCAAGTGGAAGTATTTGCACTATTAAGAGAAACATGAAACTAAGTGTTACCCTAGAAAATATTTCCATCCAGATAATTTGATAGACATACTGCAGACATCTGTTAAAATTTTAGTTCCAGAGTCTCCTCACTTGTTGAACATTGCATGTAATTTTCAGTTCATCCATGCACCAGTTGATACTACACTGAAGACAAGATAATGTTGGCACAAACAGAATTCCTGGTCATTTTCCAAGATATATTTGAAGATCCTTGAAAAGTGAAAAATTCTGTTTTATTGTTTGTGTGAGAAATAGTATTGATGTGCATGTATTTCTTTATCAGAATAAGTATGAAATACAGCTAAAAAGTGAGAAAGCAACACACTTCAGAATGTGACAAAAATAAACACTTTGTCAAAAATGGTAAAAAAGATATTCAGTTTTTTTTTCTTCTGTCCTTTCTGTCTTTTAAAAAATGCATTTTATTAATAGAAAATAAATTGAGGACAATCATTCTTTCTTTCATAAAGTAGATGCAATCATCTTGAGTGAAATGACCAGGTCTGCAAGATTCATACAGTTTTACTGATACTGAGGCAAACATACGAGACCAATATGCAAAGGAATATTAAGCAATTTCTGCAAATATTTTTAGACAAGTTTGAACCAACCAGGAAGAAAGTTATGGTGTCTATTCAAGCTAGAAATGTTCTTTTCCTTTTCTCAGTTATGTTATTTCACACTTGCCAAATAAGGAGGACATACTATGTCACCCAAATTCAACTGCAGTTGCTCTGATG